GTCTAAAGGTAAGTTTATTTATTAACTGAAGAACAAGAGTAATGCTCCATCTAACGCCCTATTTATACATGATTCCAATATTCCAAACACTAGTAGCTGTCCTCCAGTCGTGCCCCATTATTCAGGTGTGGTCTAGTTTCTAAAAACGTCTCAAACATGGACAGATCCCGACTTTCAATACGAGCGTAACTTGGCGCTGACACTATGAATATGTCTATGCTGAATAGCAAAGGCTACATGGATCTTATCGGCTCACTAGCCGTCACAATAGTGAGTAATTTATATAAGTTTTCCTACATTGCTTTAGAACTCTGTTAGGTATTCCATCTGAGCCGGGAGCTTTATCGTTCGGCAATTTCCTGATAAACTTATCGACTTCTTCTTCGATGATAGTACCAGAGATTGTGTCGATTTCTTCAGGGTATCTTGTAGCCGTGATATCATTTGTGTCAGCTTGGGCAAATTTTGGAAAGAAGTGACCTGCCAAGATCATGACTTTTTGTTATGATATGAGATAACGAGGTAGTCGAGGCTAGGGGATCGCGTGTGGCTCAAGGCCACAACAGACATCACTAGTGTACTGGTTAGGCGAGCATATATATAGTTTCGTAGATGTACCCACAATAAATGGACACAGGTTTATTCTTATACTTTCTGTCCATACAACTACAGCATAATATTGTATGAGTATATTCACCATCAATCACTAAATATAACATCATCCACTCCTCATCACTCCGCAATGTGACTTCCGCTTAGCTCATAACCATAACACTTTTTCCTTGTCTTCTGTGGCGGTATTTCCATCACTGCCTTTAATTTCGGGTATTATAGCTGGTATGACTTTACCCTTGGAACTTCTCCTCGCCCACTTTGCCAGCTTCGAGATTTTGGTTGGGTCTTCAGCTGCTTGGGATACAATTGCTCTCTATCGTACTATTTTAGCTAGTTTAATTGTTCCTTTTTCCTGGTTTGTCGCCTTTTGATATTCGATCCAGTTTTTCTCGTTGCAGGTGTGGGTCCCCTTTCTTCTTATTATCCTAGAAACTGTAACTACTTTACAGCATTCCTTGGTCCAATAAGGCTTGGCATGTTGGGATGGCACAGCTCGAGGTATTTTTTCCTCGATTGTCTGCTGAGTTGCTTTGGTGATCGTCGTGAATCTATGATCGATGGCTTGTCGGTAGTCGAGAAGATTATTTCCGTTGTCTGGTGAAGAATGGCAGTGAGCCTTATGTTGAAGGCCTCCCAGTATACCTTCTTCCACTGTGGCTGTGATTCCGGTGTTGTCTATTTTGTTGGCTGTATTCGCAGTTGGATGCCGATAGGGATGTGATTAGAAGATAACTCGAGTTCGTTGGCTGGTTGGCATGAAGTGATGGTATGTTCAAGCTCCTTTGAGATGAAGGTTAGGTAGATAGTGCCTTGGCTCCCTCTGCTTTTCCAAGTAATGGTTCCTTCCGGCACTATTAATTCCATGTTAGCCTCGTGGAGAATTTCCATGAGTGTTTCCGAAGATTTATGGTGTGTCATTATTGCCTGGTCTCCCCACCTTGGGTGGTGTAGGTTGAGGTCTCCAACCAGAACGTGTTGGCCGTCTTGTGCTAGCATTTGGGGAATAAATTGTAGCGTCCCTAGTTCTGTACGGCTATGAGATTTAGGCGGATGGTTGTAGATGTTGTGTACCCTCATTTTTCCCTGCTCCGTCTGGAGGCTGATCGAAGTTATGTCTCCATCGACTTCGTCGGGGACATCTCCGACCCTCCATTTATCTGTAGCCAGCCTCTTGCTGACGTATGTGCAAGTTCGGCTGTTTGGTTCGTTCGAGGATACCATATGGTATCCTGGGTGCTTTAGGGTAAGACTATTCAACGGGTTTTGCCAAGGTTCTCGGACCGCTACTATGTGATGTTCCTTGGGGTTCAGCTCTTGAAAGAAGTGATGTTGTACTTTGTTTTTACTTTTGTTGACATTATACTGTATGATGTTCCACGTATTTTAACTTTCATTGTATCATATTTCATAGCAGTGCATTGCTTCCCTCTGCTTAGTCCTACCGTGTTACAGTCCGGGGATTAGTCTAAGTGTTTGAAAACATCAGATCCATTTTTGTTGGCATCTTAAACCATATTGCTGTTACAGTCTAAGCATAGGCACTTGGGCAACCTTATGGTCAGAGGTAGTTTTAATTTCAATCTATGGTGAACTACAGATTGAAGAGGATAATAACAGTTACTTTATACATGATTATTATCCCAGCCAATGACACAGATTTCTATCCGTATATCCGTATCCACTACTCGTATCACATTCTCGTACCCCATCCCCGGACCTGTTACAATATTAGTATTGCCACTTATAGAGCCCTCCTTCTGAAAATAGGCTCCTCCTTGTTTCATACTAAACCTGCGTTAGACAGCGCAGGCTACAGGCAATTACCGGCTTACAAGCCGTCACAGTTGCTGAAAAATGGCCAGAAGTTGGATATTTTTGCGGTCTTCCAGGGCCTCGGCGAACAATAACTTCACCGTGTGCTCCAATGAGTTAAGGACCTGCGGTACTAGCTCGTCTTTTCCTAGATCCTACAATCTATCATTCAGCCTCTGCTTCCCTCGTTGGTACCTCAGGGCATCTATATGTTACCAGATCTTGTGTCCGATTCTACATTGCTTTTGTTTTGGCCACAATCTTAACTGGGCAGCTCTGGTTCCATACTTCATGACATCTACTGCAGTTGCTGCATCTCGCCTCTTGTTTTCCAGTACACACTCTCGTGTTGTGTGCTTTTGCGCACTGGCCGCACTTTGCTTCTGCAGTGCGGACTTTGGCTATGTGTCCGTACTTCTGGTAGTTGAAGCATTGCATGGCGCGGAAACCAGACCGGAAGAGCTCTGCTGGTTTGACTTCGTAACGCCACATTAATCCCTTCATGACCGCTTCATCTGCAGATTCCGCTTCATCAAACCACAGAATCAATGATCCCGATGATTTTCTCAAGATAAATGATCTCTTTAGCCATGTGACCTTTTGTATTCTGATGCCTTGTAGGTATAAGGCATTTGCTTGGAGTAATTTTATTTGATCATGAATTTCCAGCTCAAATGATAGCGGCATGTTATGAACTAGGACTTGCTACCTGTGCTGTAGGTGCAAGCTTTGTGGTCCACTCCTTCTGTTTTTCGACCATTTCCTTCGGTTCTTGACCTGTGAAAAACGCTTTTACTTGTCTATTAGACATCTACTTCGCCGCTATAACCTCATTTATACCGATCTTTTTTACCAGCTCCTCGCTTGAGAAACTAGCAATTGCCTTCTTTTCTTCTTCATATGAATTCTCAAGGTGGCGCTGGCAACTTCGGCTTTTCCAGCTACTTGTGCCCAGGAATATCCTTGTGTAGAAGCTGAGGCTTTTGTCAGTGAAATTGAAGCTTTTATTAAGGAAATAATGACCCCTCAGTCATTGAGGTTGAAGAGCGCATTGATTCAAGTAACTACCGAAGTGAAACTAAGTACAGAATTTGTAGTCACGTGTGTACCAACAACGTGGCCTACGTGATAGCCTCAATTATTCTAAATTCTGACAGCTTTAATGGTTTGGATTTCCTGTAGGATCTTAGTTTCGTTGAACTCTGACATAAACAGATTATTATTATTATCACACTGGCACTACTGAAAATTGAAGGGTTTTCCATTGACGGCATAATTTTATTATTTTAATGCAAAATAAATTGAAGGCGTAGATAGATCTGTGTTAATTTGGTATCTCTTATTCATGATGAAATTTAAGTATTATGGAAATCCTAGGCCACTAAATAGTGATCTGTTTAACTAGTCTTTCTTCAATATACCTGTCTCTCATGTGCAAAAGTCTTACTTTTTCATTTGAATCATCGAAGTATGTCTACTCACTCCCACGACAAACCGCTATTTAGAATCGCTGCATGCATCACTCGATGAATATCGACTGACGCGTTTACAATGTCAGATAAACAGATAATGTCCTGGTAAATAGAACCTGGAACCTCTAGTATCGGATCACAAGACTCATTTATTTACGAGACGTGCACTGTCTGGAGGATAGACGCGTCAGTCAGTATTCAGTGAGTAATATAAATGAGAAGTCGTAGAGACGATCTATCAAGTGAAGGAGCAGTCATAATTCGATGGCTCAAGTCATTGACAGAGCACTTCTCAGTTATACGAGAGAATGAGGCATGTTTAGAATAGAGTAGATTAGTGGACCACAGTTTGGTGGATGGGGACTTCTATGAGACCCAACTCATATCACCACTGTGGGATATCAATTCAATGCTGATTCATCTACGCCTTACATTTGCTGTGCAGTGTCTCATATCAAGTTTTACAAGTAATCAGGGTTCGTATGTTTTAATCTACAACTCTGTTAGTGTAAGACTGCTCGGTAAACTGCATTAATCTTACTCAAGAATCAAAATTCCATTAATCAGGATATTTACTGTTCTCTAACATAAACAATTATATGTGTAATTAATTCGTATTAATCTACATAGGTCTGTGCCTCTTACACAGAAAATTACATTATCAGCCTGTATTTTATTTCAAAGCTTCCAGATTACCAAGTTTTACTAGTTAGACTGCAACAGTCTAATTCTCTGAATTTTTGCCTGAATAAAATCTTGGAAAAGACCGAGTTGATGGCTTCCCACAATTGAAAACTTTGTGGTAATTTTACAAAAGCGTGCTTTGAATGAAAGCCATACGGAATCCAGATATACGATTTATTAGGATTGGATATGGTGAGCTTAAATTGATAACCGTAAAACCCGTTAAAGGGATCAGCCGCTAATAAGTAGAAGTACAGTTTTTTCTAGCCGTGGCTCTAGAAGTAGAAACCAACCTGAATTTTAGACCGAGAGAACCCCGCAAAGTACTTTAGCTTGTGTTGGATTTGGAAGGTTACAGTTTCATGTTTTTACACTAAAAGTCAGCCAATTAATTTCAAGTTCATTGATCAGGTAATCTCACGTGACCGAATCTTGCTTGCATATTGGACAGCCATCTGGAATCTTATCCTTCAACAATCTGGCATGCGTGACCTTGGCGCCAACACTGTGACTTGCGGAACGTTTATCGTTTCCAATCAACTCTAATTCTGATGGTGTGATGGGCTGGCCTGGGTGCTGCCAAAGGAAGAGATGACTTAAATGCCATACATGACCGCAGGCAAATCCAACCAAGGTCTCGATGTCTTTGTAAGAAAGAGGCTTGCGACACCCCATGCAGAGGCCTGGCTCAGGTGGAATGGGGCAGCAAGACTTAAAATCTGTGGCTGCTTTATTGGGCATAGAAGTATGAATGGTATTAGAAAGAGCGAGAGAATCTGGATCGATATGGCCATCTGATTTGAATGCTACATCGAATTTTATACCTTTCCGCTGACCAGATCGAAGAGTATTCTGCGCTGTAGCCACCTCACCTCGAAAGACTTTTGCAACTCCGTGACTAATGCTATGTTGAATTTCATATTCTTTAATCATCTTTCTTAATCCTTCCCGCAGCCCTGTGATCTCTAAGCCTTCTGGTATGCGCCGTACTAGGTTTATTGGATTGATGGTTGTCCCTACTTCCTCGAGAAGCACACGAATGAAACCAGGTTTGTCTAAAGAATAACTAAGAAGGTCTTCCCATAGATCGTTATCGTTTTGTTCTTTTGCAAATAAAATAGCCTGAGATACGTCCCCTAATCGGTCGATTATTAAGTTAAGTGCCCTTTTTGTTTGACCGGTCTTAGAATACAAATAGACAAGCTCAGGTATGAAATCTCGCTCCTCGCATTCTTGAGTAGCCTAGCATTTGTAAGCACAAGTTTATATTAATCTTTACTCATTTAGGAAGACAGACTTGCTCGAAGGTGTAAGTAGTAGAATACCTCAAAAATTCCATCAAGAGTTCTCTATCATAAATAGCAAATAGACGCAGCGCAAGATCAGAAAACTGGTCAACATAAGCTCTACTATCCTGAAGTAATTTTTCTTGAGTTCCACCATTGAAATTCTGGATTCCATCCCCACTCCACAGTGAGCTTAAGTAGAAAAATAGATAAAGTGTCATATTCTTTTGTTGAAGTTGCTGCACAACCACTGTCGGGCTAACAAGGCCATGCTGAGCTTCATTTACTAGCATTGAAATAACTTCAGAGGTCGCTTCCTTTAGTTCACTTAAAGAGGCCTTGTCAATCTGTTGTTTAGATACTCTGAGAAGAATCAAGCCGGGTAAATCTTCGGCTAGGGCATCAATAAGATGATAATCCTTGATCAATTTCATTGCTGTTTCGGCGTTTTGAAGCTTGATATAGCATTTTAATGCTTCTCGAACTTGACCACCAGCAAGATAAAGTCTACCCAGAGATTCGATAACAATACGCCAGTCTCTTCCCACTTGTCCATCTTCAATACTGTCTTCTCGAACATCGCGGAACCTAAGTTGGTTTTCGAGGACTATAATGACGCTTTTAATATTGAATAAGTCTGCAGGCCATCGATCTAATAATTCTTTAGCTCTTGGCCGGTTCCTAGCAATATAGTATCCAAGTATGACTTCATAAACTTCTGACTTCAATGGAGGCATCATATTGTGAGAGGGAATGTATTCGGTGATCTCATCAAACTTTTTGGCACCAACAAATATAAAAATGAAGTCTTCCCATTGTTTCGCAGTCCTCAAAACCTTACCACAAATTTTACCAGCGGCTATCCATTCGTTATTTCTTATTAGCTGATGTATCCAGAGTTCACCGATGCGGCGCTTCTCTTTTTCATGAGAGGAGTTACTTAACTTTGTAGTAGAGTTTATTGTAGAAGAATCATCGAAAGAATCTTCAATATAATCCGTAGAAGGCTGCTTAGAGCTAGGTGTTATTAGAGTAGTCTCAGTTAATCTTTCAACCGAGCTCGATGTGATTTCTGGGTGCTCATCAATAAGTTCCCATGCCTCTTTATATTTATCATGATCAATAAGCCAGGATAAGTGATCTGAAAGGTCTCTCTTAATAGCAAAAATACAATCAAATGGACTATGAATGAAGACTTTCAAGCCCGCTTTAACAAGTGAAGGATGGGCGACATTCTGTTCCCCAACTCTTCCAGCAGGTAAGCCTGGAGCTAGATTCTGTTTGGTAGAGTCAGACACCTTACTATCACTGCTACGAATACTTGCAGATGAGTTAAGTAGTGAAGTGGCATTAATTGTCGCGTTCCACATCCCACTACCCACACCAATTAAGGTCTCAAAGGTACTTCTTGACGATTGATTGGTCGGGTGGGTGAAGAAAGCAGGAATGACACCAAGATGGTAGTCTGATGCTGATAACCCTTCAAAACGACTGACGGTAAGCGTGTCTGTATCCACTTCTTCTGAAGAAGAAATGTCGATGAGCCGAAGTTCTGGAGGCACAGCATTGAGACGTCTCCCAATTTTATGCTTGGATCCGCTTTTAGTAGTTGCTGCTAAAACTCCACCTATTTGATCTTTGGGAGCTTTGTCTTCAGTAACAATGTAGGCAAGAACGAGGAGTAGGTTAGGAGCGAATAGTGACAAGCCAGATATGATACAGTCCATACGCAGGCTGAAACGTTAGTAAATTTTCGAGAATGAGATGTATGGCTCTTACATTTTAACAATCTCAGGTCGACCTACAGATCGCCCCTTAGGAACTGCGATAGTCCCTAAACCGTCGCCTCCTGGATGTACGTTTATAATCCACACGGTGCCCCCCCATCCAACTATGAGCTTTTCAATCTTATTACTGATTGAAGGATTTGGTTTCCCTAGGTTTGGTATTCCAATGTTATGGCGAATGTTATCTCCCTCATCATCTTGGAAGGAACTTTCATCAATCCACTCAATTCTTCCTCTCCATATACTGGCCATTTCTTCCCAGCCGCTATCGTCGGGACGGTCAATGTGTCCAATTCTCTTCCAGGCATATTCGTTGTCCGCACTTTCCAAGTGTATATTAGACCGCATAATTTTGATGCCGTGCTCGTTTATCCAGGCTACATATTTGCCTGATAATGACCACTTGATGGTGCTGATAATTCCTTCACTTGAGTGTAAAACTGTGTCTCTTCCGTTGTTTCCGGACATTCCAATTACACCAAGCCATTCTGAGGTTGTTGCCGAAGTGCCTCCGACCGTAGTTGAGATAGAGCTTGTGCCTGGTTTGCCTCCAACAGTCAATATAAGTTTTCCAGCTAATCCACCTGAGAGATATGTCTTGTCATTCCTGTATTCAGGTGATAATGCTACTGCTTGAACAGGGCGGCCAAAATTTCGCAATTGTACGTCTTTAACATCCACCAGCGATTGTACACATACATTACCATCGATTGATGAGGTTGCTATGTAAATTGCATTTGAAGGAATGTTTGGAACCACAGGAGCCGATTCGATTGAATTTTTAACAGTTGTCCTTTGAGGCGTATGAGCTTGAGAAATTATCCTGCTAACACTTTGAGGAGAAGCGGATTTTAGGGGTAGGGGTAATGGAGATATAGATATACTGGATATTGAAGCTGAATGAGCGTGGTAGACGCGGAGAAATTTGAATGATGGAAGTGACGCAACGTGCTGTGCTAATCTTTAGTTCCAAGGTTAAAAGTAAGTACATTCACACTTACAACGTTCCCATTGTGTGTGCCAATAAACTGTGATACATGAGCAAATCTTCGAGGTAACGTCCAAGTTCGCTGCCTACCATTTTATCGCCAGCTACCAAAAATGTGCTCGTTGCATCACCATTCCTGTAAATCGGACCCAGTTGAGTTGTTATTCGGGCGTATTTAAGCTTAGGCTCTTCGTCTTCCTCTTCCGTGTCATCTTCATCCTCATCGTCTACAAATTCCTGGGAATCTTCTGTAGCCTTATGTTCACATTTATTTTTAACGTCGCCGCGCAAACTTTCCTCTTTCTCTTCTTCATGGCTTTTGACTTTGTCTAAACTTTTAGACTCTTTTTCCATTGCGATGCGCTTTCATGGCTCCTATGTAGAGGCATGCTTGGTGACGCACTGATAGTGTTGAAGTGCAACAGTGATGATGACTAGCCGAGTCTGTCCTATCAGGTAGCAGGCATCTGTTGCTATGGTCACCTATCATGGCACAGGGTCTCGAATATATCTCAGAACATGCTCTAGCTATTGACAGACGTTATGAGTCGTTTCGTAACAACGACAGTTCAAAGGATACTCAATGTAGAAACTTCGCTCATTTACATCAATCGCGTCCACTGTATTCCCTCAAAACTTCATTGCCAACAAAGACAATCCTACTTTTCATCTTCAAAGCTTTATCAGAATGACTCTCCAAAAGTCATCGAGACTGTTGGAGAAGAACGATCAACTCTGAAAAGAAAATTAGTCCGATCACCTACGGGGAAAAGTTCTCTCAGACGAGTCGCTGTGGAAGCACAGAGATCAAGAGAGATCACTCAGCGTGTAAAAAATTATGATGCAGAGCACAATGAAAACAAAAGGGTCATCGCAATGTCTGTCGCTGACCAGTTTGATATGGATGCTGTCGCACGCATACTTCGGTCCCATGGCTTTTCTATCGACCCCGACACAACCGAATTTGACACCGACCAGGTCATACATACTCGCGGGGTGAAAAATGGTGATATATTTGTATTCCCTTCTGGATCATTGGTTGCATGGGACTTGCCAGAGGATGTAGTATCTGATATGGCAACAAAAACGCTCTTGCCTGCAGCTATTGACCCTCATATTGATCAAATTGAGATGGAGGACTTGGGCTACATAGAAGATGTTAAACGAGAGAATAGTAGTATTAAGGCAGATATAATTACCATCGGAACGAAACCAAGCTCTTACAACGATGAATCATCAGGGTAAAAATCCTACAATTCTGCTCAAATAATGCTGACTGATTAGTTCACATGTTAATACTACTCTAGCAAAAATTGCATTCTCCTCTGGTCTAGCTCGGTCAACAAAACTTGCTATCCTCGAAACTATGCTTCTCAGGTACTTTGAATCTACGCGAAATATACCCAAACTGCTCTCGAAAGCTTCCCGTCTACCCTTTGACCGACGTTTTATGCTTCAAAAGACAGGTGAATTGATGGAACTGCGCGCCCAGCTAAACCACTATTCTGAGCTTACGGACTCACTTCCGGATTTATTTTGGGATAGTAGACATGAACTTGGGTTGGAGGGTTATTATGACCAGGTGGGGCGGGCACTTGATGTTGGTGTAAGAATAAAAACCTTAAACGAAAAAATGGACTACGCCCAAGAGATAGCTAGTATCATGCGGCAGACCCTAAGTGAAAAACATAGTGTACATCTGGAGTGGGTCATCATAATCCTGATAGCTGTGGAAGTTGGCTTTGAGCTTCGACGGCAATGGAAAGAAAGAGAAACAAGTTGAAATTTACACGATTATCCAATTACCAGGCCTTTTTGCCCAGAAAACAAGTCGAAATTCTAGATACAAGCTGCTTCTTAGTGGCTTTACAAGAATATTTTAAGATATTGACCAGAGAGTCAATTCAAACGTATTTTCAGGAATCCAAAATGTCTAGTTTGAGTTTAGAATACAATGTCTTCGCACTACAGCAAATGTCTTAAGATTAAATTGTAATATCAGATACCTGAGTCTTTATCTAACGTTAGAAATGACTGGCCTCAGAAGACGCATCAAAGTCCTCCATAATCCTAACAGATAGGGTTTCATTATATGCATAAAATTCAAAAGTATAAATTTTTGATAAATAAATAACTTCTGCATCATTGAAGATATATGTCTACCAATATATAGGCTTCTCTAATTAACTAGTCTAGGAGAAACTATTAAATTAAGATACAGCAACCTATCTCCATACCGTCTTAATTGAATTACAAATCATGCAGAAGTGATTTGACTGAAATCTGACTAACGTTATATCGTCGAAACTTGTCAGTCCCATCTTTCTGTTAATATTTATAATTGGTTTTGTCGGGAAGCCATTCTACTTGCTACGCACTAAGCTTAGTACATCTCTCCCTTGCTAAGTCAATGTCTTGATGACTCAGCCAACAACACGAGCTTCTTGTTCGCAATGTTCATGGATAGAGACACAAGACATAATTCACGCCTCACATTTCAATCTTTCATTTTGCATAAGATTAACCCTACGTCAACGTACAACTAGACTAACCGAAAAGTTTAGTAAACACAGCCGTAGTGACAGCCATAACCTAAACAATGCATTCAAAATCTTACAATAAAATGATTTATTTATAATAGTTAACGCCGTGCCCACGCATTGCACATGAGCTCCTAACGTACGAATTAGCCCAGTCTACATAAAACTACCCGAAGTGTTGGCGCCTATAAAGACCCTACACAGCAAATTAAAACCAGTATCTTATTATCCTGTGCTCGAAGATTTGATTATACATTGATATCAGCCTCCCGTTGTCTCTCATGATTTGCAGATGTTATTCCATGGAGAATATAAAGCAAAAAAACAAAATTATTATCGGGGAATTGGTTGCATCGCTTTAAAGCTCTCCAGTCTTTATTACATGACCTGTTAGTTGACAAGGTATGTCTGGTTAGTGTAAGGGCTAGCCGAGATCGCCAAGGTCGAACTCGGGGTCGCGTCAATGACGCTACGCATGCTGATCAGTCGCGCAGAGAAACTTTATTTTCGGTAGTTTTAGTCCATCTCGCACTAGCGAATACAATACTATCGCTTCTCATTCTATCTGTCCTCCTTCCACTGTGCTAATTACCTTGTCTTCCCCACGGTCATATAGCTATACAAGGGCTCCCAATTTAATACGACCAGGTATTAAATGCATGAACTCCCTCCGCTGTAGCAAGAGCCCAAGATATGCTGGGATTGAAGATCTGAGCCCTGTAGAGCTGTACCCGGTACTGCCCGAGATGGTGTAAAAGGACGAGAGTTACGGACGCTGCACGCAAAGGCTGCCACAAAATTATTATATATTTTCTACGAAGAGAACTCTTTAGTGAGATAGAGCCAATGTAAGGTGCGTGCTGATGACCACCTTAAATAAGCACTTACTAAGCGTCTAACCTGTCGCAATAGACAGATCCACATGCCACATCCTGTTTGCATGCAAGGCTGGGCCCGTAAGCCAGCCCAGCCAACTGACACCGGGTAAAATCCGTAACAGGTGGCAATAGAAAAAGTGGTCGGGGAACTTCTCTTCTCCCCATTGGCAGGTAAGGATGGCGTTTTCGTTACAATAAAGTAATACTAAACTGCTTTGAATTTGATTTCATTTAACCCGACTTGGCGCCCTATGGGCCCTTTTTTTTGCATCAGATTTTAATTGCGTATGCAGCTATCTAGCTATGACACAATATCAAAGAAAAGTACAGAAATAATGATTCAATTTATAAGAGGAGTACTCATGCCTCAGATTTCATTTGCAAGTACCACTGCGAAGTTATGCTGGCTTTTTCTTCACCCCAGGTCAACCCTCATCCGTGAATACCCACCCAGGGGAACGTCTCAAAAACCCTGAGTTATCCAGACATGCTTCCGTCATCCATCTACTTTACTGTGCACGAAATGTGATCTTATTTATCTTCTTCCCAAGTGGAGTAGGTGCCCAGGCTACTCAAACTATACTAGAGAACATAACCAGGAAACGGACCACAACACCTTCCATCGTCGGCTTGTTTTTATAGTGTCAGCTGCACTCGCCCTATGGGCCCATGCAGGTGTCTATCATACTTTCTAAATTACATGGGAGAAAACCTTTTGGTGAAAACCCCCCAAACCTTCCTGCTTAATTTCTATGTTTTTTATAATGTATCCTTCAGGAAGCGCAGTTACACTATAGTGCCCTCCATGTAACTCAATCCCATCAGCTTTATCGAACTCAAGAAAGGCACGACCTGTTCCTTTCTCTCAGCAGCATTTCGACCGCCTTTGTAATCTGGAATTGCTCTATCCAACCATTATTTAGGATCCATTGTGTTATCCTTTTGATATCTCCAGGATTGCTTAGCATAGCTTCGTAGGACCAATCTTTCGCTTGTCTCCAGATCTTTCTTCCATTTGACCATCGAGGGTAGGACATAATCATGTGCTTGAGGTTCTGCGATTGGTAGCTACATGGACAGCTTGGACTGTAGACTCTGGGTACTTTTCTTCTGTATAAATACGAGTTAAGCCCCATGTGCTCACTTCGTATTTGAATAGCTAGACTACTTTAGGCCTTTATCAGATTTACTTAATTGATTATAACTGTTGGAATTACTACGGAGTGGTTTCACGATCGATCGTAATAATTCAGTAAAGAGTTGTACGATTCTGTTTTTTTTTTTGTTTTTTTATATTAAAGTCCTAAGCTAAAGCTCTAGGTCCACTATCGATACAAGACTGGTGGAGCCGGCGGGGATCACTACTTACAGGCCCAACTCATTCCAACCGCGAGACCCGCTACAGAAAAAGTAGAAGGTAAAATATAACTCAGAAGACACCACCTACTCCGACTCCGAAATCGAAGCTCCATCCTTCAACCCTAAATCCAAGTACAGAAAAATTTTCTCAGAGAAACGACACTTCTCGCCTCGTTCCCTTTCGTGTCATGCGTTGTGGCAATGACTAGATTGTCTGATCCCCGCTGAGAGCAGAGGATGAGTGGGCAGGTTGGCTATCAAAACAGCCGGTTTCCTCCGCAAATATTTTGAAGCTATCTCGGCACTTGGGCCCGAGAAGCTTTTTGATAAAGTCAGCGTGTGACATTGACTTTCTGAGCCTACGCGTTTGTTGTGTGTGACGGTTACAATGGATAAAGTGGGTTGGAGTAGTTTCCTTGCCGCAAGAACACTCCATAGGAGCGTGTGGATTATTAAAACGGCGATGGTATGCCGCAAAATTGCCGTGACCCGTTCGTGCTGCGATTAGTGCCCAGAGGAGGTGCCTAGAGAGAGACAGTTCAGATGGTTTGCGTCTCCGCACCTGTAGGTTGAGTTGGCGGTATTTAGGCGGACAGGCCTCTTCCCACCAGTCATCTATCAGCCTCTGTCGTCTGCGATTCATGAGACCACGTAGATATGCTAGAGTACATGATCCTGGTGACGTCTCCTGGCTAGGTAACTCTCGAAGTGCTGCACGGGCCATGGCGTCTGCCTCTTCATTTCCTTGGATTCCTGCATGCCCTGGAACCCACTTCACTGATATTTCAGCCTTATTAGATAACGCACGGAATTTGCGTACATTTCAAGGCTGGTTGAGGACGAGCCTGTCGTTAGTGCGCTTACAGCCTGCTGGCTGTCTAGAATCACGTGGATTTGCTACGAACCTCCTACTTTCCTGCACTTTTCGTTCTCCAAGAACTCCAGTGCGGCCTCCAGAGCCTTCCTTGCTCCTACTTTCTCTGCATTCAGCACCTCTCCCCCTTGCTTGATGCCACTTCCTTTGCCGATAAGTTTCCCATCCTTTTTCAGAACGAAACCCCAGGCGGAGCGTCCATGTCCTTCCGATGACCCATCCGAGTATGCACAAATGTCCGTTCCTGGCACGTCGCTAATCCTTCTAACGCAACCTTCGCGTTCCATCCGACTTTGAGCCTGATTTCCTAGAGTAAACCACCGACATCAGACTTTCAGGAGCTTCTGCTTCCGGAAGCTCACGGTAAGCACGCTGTAATCGTGAAATCTGAATTTCTGGTCTAGCTGAGGACTTGACAGACTTTTTGTATTTTCGGGTGCCGACATTCGGGCACACGGAAACGCGGGTCCTCAAAGGGTGTCGATCGTCAAGGGTCTTAAGCCTTGCCGAAAGCCGGAGACGGTTTCCCTCAAGTATGACCTTTGCCGGCGGGATTCCCCCTTCTCTATGAAGGACTACATTTGGTGTTGTCCTCATTACTGGAAGTGCAGCCCGCAATCCCATCAGGTTAGCTCGGTTAATCATGCCGCAGAGGTTGGAGGTTGAGGACGTGACTATTCCTCGAATGGTCGGGCGTTTGGACCCTGGCCACCAGACATCAGATCCAAAAGTTGCGAGCGAAACAACGCACATGTCTACTGCCTTAGCCAATGGCCCAGGAGCTGCTCCCCGAAAGGCAGAGTTGAAATGGCGCATGTGCTGGGCAACTTTTACCGCTTTACCGCACCACGTAGTTACATGATGTTTGAAATTGAGTCGTGGATCCAAATTCACGCCTAGCCAGCGAATATTTTCCGCAGGCTCGATAAGGGTTCCGTTAACATGAACACCAATTGCTTCCTCTCGGCGTCGTCCCGGAAATTGAATAACTTCCGATTTTTCCGTGTCAAAGTCGACAGCATTATTCCGCGCCCATTCGAGAAGATGATCTGTCTCACCTTGTACGGCAGCGGCAGATTCAGCAATTGTGCGTCCAAACCCTAGAATTCCAATATCATCGGCGTAGCTAAAC